ACCAAGGATCGAACCTGCACCCCCTGCATTGGAAGGCAAAGTCTTAACCACTGGACCACCAGGGAAGTCCTGTGTCCTCCATCTTAAGGGATCTTTTAACCAGTTGACCTTGGGTTTATTTCCTTATTGGAAATTTTTCATTTATAAAAAGAAGTGTCTGAGGTTATATACATCAAGTGATGCACAAAAGAAAACATTATTTTTGTTCAGTCTTGGGTATGTCTTTCAGTGACCTGAGTATGAGTGTATACTGTTAGCTTGATTGAAGTCCTGGAAACTCTAGGAAATTTAAGGGCATTATGGAAAGATAAAGGGAAAATGTGAATAAATTTTACCAATAATTAGAAAAATCTTATTTTTCCTATCTCTAAAGTGAAGAGGCTGGTAGAGAATCTCTAAAGTATTTTCCATTTCAAAAGTTCTGTGACTGTACAATCATAATAAAATATTTGTATTATAGGGTATTTTGGACTACTTAGTGCTTATCTTAGTAATTTAAACAAAATTCTCTTCATTTAGGTTTTGAGACAGATGCGAAAGTTGCCTTGGCAGGACCAAGAAGTGAAAGACTATGTGATTTGTTGTATGATAAACATCTGGAATGTGAAATATAACAGCATTCATTGTGTAGCCAACCTCTTAGCAGGACTAGTGCTCTACCAGGAGGATGTTGGAATCCATGTTGTGGATGGAGTTTTAGAAGATATTCGATTAGGAATGGAGGTAACAAAGACCTGCAGCAAATTGGAATCTGTGGACAATTTAGACAGCCTTTAAGTCCTATTATTGAAAAATAAGGATTTGAAAACCCTCTTTTCCCCATATGGTGTCATTTACTATTACTTTTTTGAAGATAATGATTTCTTAATAAACCCTGTTGTGTCAGATTTCCTAGTCTTCTCTCAGGCTAATGCTGAAGTATTTTTTGCCTTTTCTTCAAGTCCAGTTAAGCTTATTTTAGAAGAGTGTAGTAAATTTTTATTATCTCCTGGTTACTATTGGCATTCACGTTATAGGAATTCATAAATTTATTAATTAGGAGAATTGGTAATCATTTGATAAGAATTTCTGTGAGAATTTCCCTCTTTCTATATGCTTGTTATTTCCTTAATTCATGGATTTCAGAGAAAATAGGTTACAGAGGGCTGATAGGGAGAATTACATTTTAACTGTTTCATAAACTATTGATTCATTTAACAATAGCTTAATATTAAATTTAATACTTAACATGTTCTTTTTATTAAAACATTTTAAAGGTAGACATTTCTTAGAGAGAGAAAAAGGACACCCAGAAGTGACTACCTATTAGAAAAGAACCCATTATTTATTCTCTGTTCAGTGAGTGATTTTGTCAAGTGACATAGGGGAATTTTACCTCTTCTCAAACACATTGCTATTCTTTAATGGAAATCTGCTTTTTTTTTTCTTTCCCCTTTAGGTTAATCAACCTAAATTTAATCAGAGACGCATCAGCAGTGCCAAGTTCTTAGGGGAACTTTATAATTACCGAATGGTGGAATCCGCTGTTATTTTTAGAACTCTTTATTCTTTTACTTCATTTGGTGTTAACCCTGATGGCTCTCCAAGTTCACTGGACCCTCCCGAGCACCTTTTCAGGATTAGACTAGTGTGCACTATTTTGGATACCTGTGGCCAGTACTTTGACAGAGGTTCTAGTAAACGAAAACTCGATTGCTTCCTTGTGTATTTTCAGGTATATAAATTGAAATAAGCAGTTGGCATCATTTAATGCATTGCTTGTGTTACAAAAATATTAGAGAAGAAACCCTGTAGCATTCGTATATTATGTATAAGATATATTCATAGTTAGGTGAGATTTATTCTTCTTGCAAGTATGCTTAGCTTTAGACGTTTTAAAATAAGATGATAGGGACTTCCCTGGTGGTCCAGTGGTTAAGACTCTGTGCTTCCTGCAGAGGGCACAGGTTCGATCCCTGGTCAGGGAACTACGATCCTGCATGCCACATGGCATGGCCAAAAAAAGACAGAAAAATTTAAAAAATATATGTATGATGAATTCTATCATAAACATTCTGATTACATTTTAAGTTTTATAATTGATCATTAATTTTGGGAATTATTTTGGTGCTTTTATAAATTTGGTTTAGTAAGTTTAATAAGTTTGGGTTAGTAAGTTTAATAAGTTTATAAATTTGATATAGTATGGATTATTTTGTATTTGGTATGTAATTCATGAATCAAATTACTTGTAATATGCATTTGATAATATTCTCACTCATCTGTGTTCTGGTTTTATATCTAAAATTCTTGTTTCTAAATTAAAAAAAAAACCCATCATTAACATTGAAAGAAATATTTGTTCATTCATTGCTAAACTCTTGGGTTGTGCTTTCCATATCTTAATTTACTTCTGTAAACTGGTGATCTAGAGCAAGTACAGTATAAACTAAATTCAGATACAAATACAGAGACAGTTCTATAGCTTCTATACAGTTCATGTTCCAAAAGTTAGCTGTAGCTTGGTTGTCTGGAACCTAATCATTATTTCCCATCAAATACAAGGTTATAAGTACTGATTAGGGGGTATAGCTCACTATTGAATTCTCCAGATGTTACTGAAATAAAGTACCAATGGTACCATTCAGTTCTATTTGATCATTCCTTTCTATCTAATCTGTTATGTTGTTTTTGTTTACCCATTGACAAAGAAAATAAATTTAAAACTACAACTTTGAGGTGTCAAAAATACATCCACATAGTAGCTGATGTTAAGTGGGGGTAACTACTCTTGGGGAAGAGCTGTTTGTAACTTTCTCCTATTACTTTACCTTTGCATTAGAGGGTAACTTGTTACTCTCTTGTTTTCTGAATTGATTAGCCAAAAATGGGGAAGGTGTGTTGAAGATTTGAGACTCAGATTCTCTGTTCCATGTAAGAAATGCCTTAAGTTGGAGACTGCCTGTATTTAAAACCAGAGTTTTGCTGCAGGATATCAGTTATCACTATCAGCGTCCAAAGCAGGATCCCTTTCAGAAGAGTGTTCTTATTTGCACTCACTCTAACATCACTGGCAGAGAGAAAAGAGCCACTCAGAAATGTTCAGGAGGAGAAAGAGACAAAAGTATTTTCCACATTGATTAACAGCAGGAATGTGTAGCAGGGATATACTTAGGGCACGGGAGTAAGAAGTGAGTGAGGCCTGGGAGATGCACTCAGTGTGTGCTGCCTGTAACACAGTGTCCAGTTACATATTGGAAGGCAGATAGAAAGGCTCACCTGCAGCAGTGCTTCTAAACTTCAGTGTGTACACACATCACCTGGCTATATTAAGATGCACACTGTGATTCAGTTGGCCTAGGGTAGGGGACGTCTCAGATTCTGTATGTCTAATAAGCTCTGAGTTTCCACACTTTGAGTAGCAAAGACTTAGAAGAAACTGGACAGGAAGATTAAACACCCAGAGGAACACCTGTTTATATACAAGTAAATTCATGGGTTGTGCTTTTTAGTTAAACTTGAGAATTACAAGTACAAAATAGAATGAAGGAGCCAAGCTAGGAGACGAGGGAAAGTATCTAAATGGTGCCATATACACAGTAGATGTTCAATAAATGCTTGTTGATTACTGATTTTTATATATTCAAGACCCTATCTTCAGATACTTTGACTCTTTAAAAGAATCAAAGCAGGGAGTATAGAGAAAATAATTATAATTTATCAAAACCGTTGCCTTGAATTTGGTTGTTTTTGTAAAATTAAGTATTTAAGCCCTATTTGGGATTTGGAATTTCTGCCTGGTTTCAATACCTGAAAATTTATTTGCTGTTTTATTTATTTATAATTTTTCCTTGCCTTTAAAAAAAGATTATGACAGTTACAATAAAAATATATATTTAAATTAAAGTCACCAGATGGCTTAGGAACTATATACATGGAGGGAAATAAATGTGCTAGGATCATTGCTGTTGACCATTAATAAAAATGGTAGGTGCCTTGTACAACTCTTTAGTTGTTAAAACTAGGTGATGTCACGATACAGATTATTTTAAATATTTTGTTATTAATTTCTTATAGCTAAATTTATTTTTCATTTGTTATCAGCGTTATGTTTGGTGGAAGAAAAGTTTGGAGGTTTGGACAAAAGACCATCCATTTCCTATTGACATAGATTACATGATCAGTGACACACTAGAACTGCTAAGACCAAAGATCAAACTCTGTAATTCTCTGGAAGAATCCATCAGGCAGGTACACGACTTGGAACAAGAATTCTTAATAAAACTAGGTAAGCAATTAATTACAGAGAGAAAATAAAGATGGTATTTGGCAGATCGTTTCTAGAATTTGCTTTATAATGTTTTCAGTTAGCATTAACTTCTGTTTACTTTCTGTTTTTTGATGTTGAGTGTTAACATAATAGTGTTAGGTAAGACCTGGCTGACTGACTTCTTGATTTCATTAAATAATCCCAAATTGGAGGAAAACAGTCCTGTAAAACTTGAAGCAAATAATAATGATGGAAAAAATATAATCTTGTCAGCCTCTCTTAATTTTAGAATTTTGGGTTGCTAATTTAAAACCTACTTTTGGTTAAAGCATCTCATATACAGTATATATTTTCAATAACACTATTTCCTAAGACAGTGCAGGCTTGACACTATATAAGGGGAGTGCCAGTTAGAAGTTTGAAACTATCCTACCAAATGTTAAATCATAGTCACTGGGGGAGTTGTCCTGTTTCTAAAGACTAGAGAACATGTGAGAAACGTGCTACAGGAGGGTTGGTCACTTTACTTTCTCAGTATCCTTCTGCGATTGTTCTGGAAGAAGAGGTAGCATTTGAATGGCTCCCCTAAAGGACTGTAGGAGCCAACTAGCCTTGCCAGTGGAAGTAACTGGAACAGGGTGGGGCCTTACCAGTCTGGTTTGCTTGCTGATAGTTCTTAGCATGTTGTATTGTAGTCATTTCAAAGTGACAAATAGTTTCAGCCTATGAAGCTAGTATTTTATTAGGAGATTATTTATTAGGAGACCTTTACCTTGACCAGTTATACTAATTGTATAAATTTACTATGTTGCATATCCGAAAAACCACTTTTCATGGCACAGGCATGGGTGATCCTTTTCCTTTAAAACTATTTTTTCATATTACATCCAGCATATCAATAGGGTTTCTTTCTCCAAGGTAAATCCTGTTTTGGAGAATTTGATTGCTGTTATCTATTTGAGCATTATTTGAAAGGTGCTACTTATTATGCAACTATTCACTTTTCCTAATTCTCAACCCATAAAGGCATGTGTGATTTTTTTTGTTCTTTGAACTTTGTCCCAAGTTATCTACTTTCTTTTCCTTTTCATATTTCTAATTGTATAAAATGATAGTTTCAATTAGAGTGTTTATTTATCTACATGCTTATTTCATTTACTTTATATGCTTTGAAATAGTCTTAGCCTTGTTTCCCAAAGACTTTCATGAATGGCTCTCTCTGTATAGTGGGCATTAGGAAATACTAGTTGGATACCCAGTTTGGTATCAGTAAAGAGAGCAGTATGCTTTATCCTTTATTGAGCAAAGAGTTAAAGGACTTCGGGCTTCTTTTGAGGAGTCTGTCCTTGTTTAGAATATGGAAAGGAAAAAAATAGGTCACCATTTGCCAGTGCAACTCTAAGGATGGTGGCAACTAGAATCCATATGCTCCCAAGTCGTCCCGTTTTCCTTCTTTTTTAGAGTCTAAATATCATAGAGAAGATATACATGAATAAATCTATGTTAAATCTGTTTCCTGTTGGTAAACCATAAGATAATATAGCATCTTGCTTTTGGTAGTTTTTTGTTTTCAAGCACTTGCAAATTCATTATCATTTCAATCTTATAGCTACCCAATGCTAACTTAATAGTTAGCATTTACTTATATTTTTAAAACCATTTTAATATTATTAAAAGTAATGAAGTGTTCATGGCAGAAATTTTGAAAAATGCCAAGAAGACAGAAATCACTGATATTTCATATGCACGGAGAATGATGTGTTAACATTTTGATATATGTTCTTCTATTAAAAAAAAATTTATTCACGTGTTTGCAGTTTTATAACTGGATTTTTTTTCTACCTAATATATTATGAAATTTCTTCCTGACATGAAATAACTTTCCTAAATATTTAATTTTTTACAAAACTGGCTATTTTCCGTTGTATGAATGTGTTAATTCTGTTGTTTGACACGTTATTTCTAATCTTGCACCCCTATAAATAACATTATTATGTTACTTTTGTGTGTATCTTGGCTTTCTCAGGATAGAATTATTGGCTCTAAGACACACTTTTTTTTTTTAACATCTTTATTGGAGTATAATT